ATGCTGGCTATCAAGAGCTAATCTCGCTGCATGAGCAGGCATCAGCAGAAAGCGACGCGCTTGCGCGTGTGACGTGATTTGACGAGAAAAGAGCTTTTTTGAATGTTGTGTGTCTCATCAAATGCCTCGGCTTGGGATGCATCTCGCTGATGTGATTGGTGGTTTCTTCTCGTCCATCGCGTGCCTCTGTAATGGCAGATGCGATGCGACTGCTTGGCAGCTGCCTCCACACTTTTTTTCGCTGCTGATTCACACCCTCCCTGCTCCTCGACCACCCCCTTGCGTCACCTTTCCCCCTTCACAGCGAGTACTGTCATGCGGTAAGGCCTCGCCTGGTATCTAGCAGCTTAGTGCTTCTCGCTGGGCTGTAGAGTGCCGCGCGCGCGCCGGCAGAGAGCGCACAATACACGCCTGCCAATCCCAGTCCAACATAACCCCCCTCGCTGCCCAGGCAAGGCCCATGCTATGCCGCCCTCCACCGAGGCAGGTCCATCCCGAGCAACCTCAGACGCTGCGAGCCACGACAGTACAACATTCTCCTCCACCAGCAGCTTCAGGAAACCATCGAGCGGCAATCGTCTAGTCGTAGAGGTCGAGACTCGCAGCAGCACACCCACCAGTTCCAAAAGCTCGACTGGCTCATCATCCTCTGCGGGCAGAGTAGCACCTGCTGCCCCCGCGAGCGCTGCCAATGCTTACACTCCCCGTAATGCTCAACGCGACGACTCGAGCTCTTCCTCTGCCAAGCGGCCCTCTTCCTTGAAGAGCTACTTGATCTCAGCCGCCAGCACATCGTCTCCCAAATCTTCTGCACCAGCAGCAGTCGCGAAGAGGCAGACCAGCGACTTGGCCGTCGTTGTCGCTTCGCCGCCGAGACGCGACTCGCCCAACAGGTCCTATCCCTCTGGCTCGGGCGACACAAGCTCAGCTTCACCCATCAAGCCGAACGCTGCCAGGATCGGTGCGCCGAGCTCATTATCCTTGCGCAATCCTAATCGGGATTACGACGGACAATCCGCCTCAGGGCCTGCGAGTGCCAATTCCGAGGGCAACAATGACACGAAAGCAACATCAAAATTTCAGCAAGCGCGATTGCGACAGGCAGAATCGTCTTCCCCGTCTCCCGCTGCTGCTGCAGGCCGACATAAACCTCTTGTCATCGAGAAGAAGCAGCCAGCGGGCCTCTCCAGGCACTTGCTACCTCCGAAGCCTCGCTCGTCGTTGCTCTCCCCAGTCACGCCTGCCACTCACAAGGCACCCAAGCCTCAGCCTGCGAGAAGTCTGCTCGAGGAAGCCAAGGCGCGCGCCGCAAAGAGGCATGAATACACCAAGGCCAGAACTGCAGGTCGCACCTCTGCCGACTACGTGCCTCCACCCACCACCGAGCTGCCTAGGAGCGAGTTTGGAGAAGAGGCACGAATTTGGGGCAGCCCGTTCAGGGAACCTAGAGCTGGCAACTCGGGAGATCATCGAGGGACTAGGCTGCTGCGCTGCCAGTGGGATGTGGACCGGTCCACCCATTTCGAGCACAATCATGTGCAATGCGGCAAGACGTTTAGCACGGCCGAGGCTCTCATACGGGTGAGTGGAGCTGTCTGACGGGTGCTTGCACGCCGCGATGTGACTGCCAGAAGCTTTCATGACGGCTGCGGGAGGTCCTTTGTCGTAGCATGTATGCGGATCCGCGCGACGCTTTGCTCACCTGCTGCGTCTCCCTTACTCACCTCATAGCATGTCTGCAGGGCGCACATAGACCTCGTTTCGCTGCCGCCTCGAGAGGTGAAGATGAGGTGAGCATACACCGTCGCTTGCGCACAATGTGACGGTGCAGCTGGAGACTAATGAGACCATCTCCCATTGCGAATTGCGCAGCTGCCAATGGAAAGGATGCGCCAATAGAAGATTTGACAAGACGACTCTCAAAGGGGAGCATCTACGTGGCCACCTCGCAGCTGCTGCTTTCGAGTGCCCCTTCAAAGAGTGCCGATTGTCGAACGGCGTAGAGCTGACCGATTACAAAGCCCAAGATCGTGAGTGGCTGGCACGCGATTCGCGTTGCTATCTTGCAGCCGGGAGCGCTGCTGAGTCCAAAGTGCCGTCATCCTCAGAGCACATTCGTCTGGAACATCAGGATTTTCGTGATGACTCGGAGCTCAGGCCGCTCCTGTGGGGTGAGAACGTCTTGGCGCCAATTGCTCGCATCGGTGCTGCCTTCTGACACGTTGGGCGAAATTTGCCTCTCAGTCGCACATCTGCCAGGGAGCGCAGCTTTGGAGCAGCACAAGAAGAAGCTGCGAGCTATTGCTGCGTGCATCAAGAACCTTCCCGGTCCAACGCCTTGGTGGAAAGCTGAAATGTGAGTGGTCGAAGAAGAAGAAGAAGAAGCTGCGGCAGCAGCAGCAGCAGCCATCGCAGAAGCAAGACTCATGATATGTGAGCGCATACACTCCCGCAGTGCAATACCGCTGAGCTCCGAGCCTCCATCCAAGCCTGCGCCCAAAGTTGATGACACGCTGCAATCGCTCTCGATGGAGACTGGCAACGTCAAGACGCTGGCCACTCAAGCATCAGCGGTTCTGCCAGCGACGCAAGTCGACGAATCGTCTGAGCCGCCTGGTCCTAGACCATGGAACAGGTTAATACCGCAGCTCGCAAGGGTGGAACCTCCAGCAATACGCTTACCTTTGGACCTTCCCGGCAGTGTCAAATTGGAGGCTGTGGAGATCGACGTGACTCCCAAGGCTAAAAGGCTGATTTATCATGATTGGCACCCTCGAAGGCAGATTCTCGACTTTGTCGACTTGGGAGGCGACGCCTCGCTGAATGAGGATGATCTGCGAGACCTACAGTCCAGCAT